GGTGGTGGAAGCAGAAGATTGGGATGTTGCTGGCTGTGAACTTGGCTGACTGACTGAAGGTTGGGCGGCGCCAGCCCCACCAAATCCGGTGAACCCCGAGCCAGAACCAAAAGAAAGTGTACTTCCAGTAGATGGAACTGAGGTAGAAGGAGCTGAAGTCGAAGGTGCAGCAGCATTCGATCCTGACGGTTGAAATGAGAATGCACCAACTGTTGCAGCGGGTTTCGATGCCGCGGTTGTTGACGACGTACTCGGTTGAGAAGTAGCGGTGCCACCGAAAGAAAAACCAGATGATGGCTGTGAAGTGGCCGTCGTACTCGGCGTAGAAGCAGCGGCACCACCGAAAGAAAACCCAGATGATGTTTGTGAAGTGGCAGCAGTACCACTTGCAGCAGTTGGTTGCGATGTAGATGTACCAGCGGCAGGGAGACCGCCAAAAGAAAAGCTGGACGTAGTTGAAGCTGCCGGCTTGTTAGCTCCAAATCCAGCAAAGCTAGGTGCTCCTGATCCAGCTCCAGATGATATACCACCAAACCCAAAGGAAGGTGTTGTGCCCGTGCCCGTACTTAGACCACTTCCGGTATTGCTGCTGGGAGGATTTCCAAAAGAAATAGATGATGTAGTACCAGTTCCTGCATTACTGCTGGCGGGATTGCCGAACGAGTATGATGTGGTCGCACCACTTGCAGTATTACTGCTGGGAGGATTTCCAAAGGAGAAACTCGGCGCAGGTGTTGATCCACCCGGTGCTGAAGTTGATGTCGACGGAGTGCCAATTGAAAATGTAAAAGCTATTGCAAAAGAGTCAGATTTCTTTGTCCATCCTGATAGAGATTGAGGTAAACAAAGAAGTATGTACGATTATTGCTGCCGGGATTCGACATGGCGAGGAGTGAATATATCTAAGATTGGTATAAATATAATCTGACTGTATTCGGATGTGCTAATATAGTCACTTCTGACGTATACGGAAATAGAAGATATTTGTACGATGTACGAGCAGCGAAAGGGGACTGGTCCGCCGTCGTCTCTGCCCGAAGAACCAACGGGTCAGTTCCACTTGTGGAATCAAATTCGATTTGATATAAAATCTCCTGATTCCTCTAAATTGCTATGTTCTACATTAAATTTAATTGATTTACAATAAATGTCCTTGAAATCGAACATAGTTAATTATGCTTGAAGGCACATTCTGGATCACCCAGCCCATGGTTTCCAAGCATCCGTGCATCAACTCTATTGTCGGGCCTGCAATACACCAGACAATCATACTAGACGCTTCGGCTAATAGGCCCAACATGGCTTCTCAATGGAAGTAGATAACCTAAGCTGTATCCAACGCATTTCATTGATATCCGTATTTCTTCGCAGCCAAACCGTCAATCAACGCAGGAAAGAAACTCCTCACCACATCAACGACTCCATAGACCCAGGGTATAAAGACAACTCTATTGCACCTTTGGTCGCTTTCCCTCGCGATTACCTTCGCTACATCAACTGCGGTCACCGCTCCCTTTTTGGTGCCTTCTTTTAAACCTTTCTTTTCAGCCACTACCTTGTCAATGGCAGTACTTCTCAATTCAGTTCCATCCACTGTCCCAGGACTCACAAGACAAACGAAGACTCCATCTCTTTGAACTTCAATAGCCAATGACTCGAAGAAACCATGTAAAGCGTATTTCGATCCACAATACAGTGACCGTGTTGGTGCAGGAAATTTACCGCCGACGGAAGAAACAACTATTATGTTGCCTTTTGTTTCTAGAAGCGAGGGAAGAAAATGCTGGGCTAAATAAATCGGACCAAGAGTGTTAATCGCAAAACACCGGTCGATTGACTCCTTTAAGACAGAGGGTGACTCGATGAGTTCGGGGAAAGGAACTGTGGACAAGACACCGGACGAGATAATAAGAGTATCTATATCAGAAAGTTTCTTCAAATCAAATGTTAGCGCTTTGTGATTCTCTTTTGATATCTACTCCATAGAACATGGGCCGCTTTGGAAAGGTCATGGTGTCGTAGATTTCTGCTGTTGTTTACAGCTTCCTTGATTTTTTGAATAAATGAATTACAAACCTCTATGCATTTCCTCACAAAATATTCTACACTTTGGTTATCTGCGACATCTACGCCTCCAATGTCGCACTGAGCTCCAAGACCCCGACACTGCTCTTGCACCTCTTTCAATTTCTCTATTCTTCTTGCGCCAAGAAACAATTTCGCCCCACGTTTTGCGTACAGCAAAGCTGTTGAAAGTCCTATTCCAGAAGTTGCGCCAATGATAACGACTCTTTCTTGGTTGGCTTTCGGACGATGTGAGTTGAAGCGAGATCGTCTAAGTACGGAACGGGAGTAGGAGAATAAAATAAGAGGAAGGATAGTGAGGGGCAGATAGATGTATGGGAATGAAGTCATAGAAAGGTTCATGGTGTCTTAAAGAAAATATGTACTAGTAGGTTAATAGCCGAGTACCAGTTCCAAAGACGAAGGCCATCCAGCTCAACGTGAGGTTCGGACAATATGGATCGTCTGAATATTCTGTCACCAGAAAATATCTCCGAACATCCAATGATTGTATAGTACAGAACGGAACAAAACTTTCCAAATCAAAATAATGCTGCAGATAAGTTCATCTATTAGGTGCTAAACGCAGGTACGAACTGCTTTAGCCATGAAAATCCAGAATCCCAGTTTGAAAATCAATGCTTTCTGCAGCACGAAAAATGCTAGCAGCATTTGATATAACTCTTTCTCTTTATCACGCATGTAATAATTACATATGTAAGTCGGTAATCAATACAGACAAAATCAAAATCCTCTCGACAAATTGTCTTCCACCCTACTCTGCCAGCAGCTCTTCCAACTCGCGCTCCTCCTCTTCAGTCATCAGACTTTGCTTTTCCTTTTTCCCTGCATTACGATCAACTGAAGCTTCAACTGCTGGTAAATGAACACCTGAATCCGAATCGAGGGCGACATCGTCAAGCGATATTGAAAGTTTAAATTTGACAGAAGGATCGATAAGTTCTACCAGTCCGATTAAGGAAGGAGTGAATGTTAATGGAGTTAATTCTTGAACTTTGATTGGTACGAAAATGACGGTACCTTTCACTTTCCACCTTCGGATTGTACCATCTAAACTCGCAGAGTAGACTGTATCATCAATCAAACAAAGACATGAAACTTCATCGAAGTGACCTTCCACTTCTTTCGTTAATTCCTCGGTCTAAAGATATCCAGAGCGAGAAATTCAAAAAACAAAATACATTAGATAACTTAGGAACTGACAAAAATCTAGAGCGAGTATCGCAGTGGGTATTGCGATTCAGAAGTTACAGAGAAATCAGAGAAGTAACGTGGTGCTTACCGCCGTATTCCATACACGGATAATTCCATCTCTGCATCCAGTCACCACATAAGAGTTTTCATGTATCAGCACAAGAGATTTCACAAAATCAGGATGATTCAACATCGTATCGGGTTTCAGGCTCTGCAACAACAAGAGATGAATATGCGAATCACACGTCGTCACAAGTAGAGAAATCGACTGTCAGCGCAGTAAGTCGGGAAAGTGGAACAAACCTTCAAATCCCATCGCCTAACTGATTTATCAGCACTTCCGCTCCAGACCTCTACATCAGATTCATCATCTCCATAGCCACCTGAAATGGATAAACAGCAAACACTGGTATCATGTCCTCTCAGGACATTCGATTCTTCACAAGTTACGTTATATGTTCCTTCTTCGGAGGCTTCCCAGAATAGCTTCCATCTTCGAATAATCCCATCGCTACTGCAGCTCCATAACCATTCGCCATTTATCTCCAGTTCTAATCCATCGACTGCGCGGGTGTGACTTTTCACTTGGGCGAGCAAGTTACCAGTTTTGATACTGAAAATGCGGATGGCAGCATCGTGGCATCCGGTAATAAAGACGCCTCGATGTGGAACTATAAGCAGGGATTTTACATAATCCGGATGTGGGGAGAATGTTCTGAGTGTAGCTTTCGACTAAGGAAGTTATTAATAGTCGATTAGAGCAATCGGCACAGAGAATTGGGGGTAGTACGATAGTTGAGTAGTACCTTTGCATCCCAGACTTTCACTGTTTTATCCCAACTACCAGAGATAAATAGAACTTTCTTTGTATCAGGATCTCTGAAGGATTTGGCGACAGTTACGGGCCCGCCGTGACCTTTGAATGATTTAACCGTTTTCCCTGTCTTATTGATAATAAGGTATGAATATAAAAAGCCGAAGTCAATTCCACAGTCCCAGCGAATTCGAGATGAGATCTTCGAGCAGACTTTCACACGATCCTTAAATATGGATCACTAAAAGCAGTCAAAACAGTAATGATGTTCAATGATCAATACCTCTAAATCAACAACTCTCACAGAGTGTCCAGAATCACCGACAAGTAATCTAACTTTGTTCTGTCTGCCAAATTCCTCAAGTTCGTCCTCTGAAAATAAATCACTGGCGGGGTATACAAGCGGCTCCAATGACAGAATTTTACTAGGTAACTCAATTGGAGAGCCGAGTGTATTATGGCGCTTTAAGTCTCGAAGTTTGGCGGCTCTGATTTGAGCATCCGACTGGAAAAAGTCAGAGGACACAGAGGATATGTTGACCATTGCTTTGAGTATTTGAAAAAAATTTGACTGGGAAAGAATCGTCGACTGGATGATGGAAGGAAAGAACCGCAGATAGTGGGAACACGGGTGATGATCACAAGCACGGTTTTGATGATTGATCCCATGCCTGAACCAACAATTATGGTCGCAATGAATAAATAAGATTTGCTAGTTTAAATGTATTAAATGGAGAATATGAAATCCAGATCTCCATTGCAATCTTTCTTCTACATCAGATGATTTACAATATCAATTATCACTGCCGACACGAAGAAAAAAGAAGTAGACGAAGGCGGCATCAATATTTTTAAATGTGTCTAAGATATAAAAAGGCATTACATTGCTGCATTTAGAATGTAAAATTGGAGAACCTGGGCATCGATCCCAGTGCCTCTTGCATGCTAAGCGAGCGCTCTACCATTTGAGCTAGATCCCCGATGGAGGTGCCGGACTCTATGATTGAGACGAATGTATAGATTTCATAGGTATTAGCATCACGAGGTAGTCACACATCACAATTAGCGCCAACTTTATGGTTTCGAAATGAATGTTATAGATACCTTACACTTTTTTTCTAGACGTATATCTATGGGTATGAAAAGGTATATTTTATTTTTCCGCAATTGACGGTGAGTGTATCAAACATCCTGGAACACTCAATATAGCAGTAGACATAATTACAAAGACATCCTTAACAATGCTGGGATGTCAGTGGCAAAAATGTATGTATTAACCAAATTGTGATATTGAAATTACAAAGAATCATTTGGTCCTACATCTGGAAAAGATTAATTTACAAAAGCTTGAAAGAAGCCGCTTTTGAAGTACACCGCTATCGAAAGAACAGCCGAAGAATCCCAATATTATAAAACACACTTTATAGCTAAATCCTATCGTCATTATTCTATGTTGGTTTTGCCAGCAGTTATTTTACAGTGGATACGTTTCGAATCGATCACTCGCTTCAAGAGTTCATCTCTTGTGCAATTTCGCTCACTACTGACGGTGAAGATTCAACTTGCATGAAGTGAGCATTAATCGATACTGTTCGTTGAAAATGATTCTGATGGAACTTGTTCACAGACGAATATTCCATTGAAGTGTTTGAAACGTCCTCCCTCGAGAGGTTTAAAAATGCTGATAGCAAGGTCCGGTCTTGATCGTATTCATGCTCACAGAACTCTACGAAATGGCGAGGAGACTCGGATCGAATTGTGTGTCCTGGTGCCGCCGATAGTTCGGGCCGATGGCTTAAGATTTCTGAGCTTGAAGGAGTCGATTGATTTTGTGATTGTCTATGTTGATTTGCTGGCGTAGAGGATGTATGGGTTGTTGCTACCTTTGGTGAAACACATGAATTTGCGTTGGCATGAATTTTCTGCGTTTTGCGTTTTCGAGTATGTGCTTCTAAACTTCTCGCTTTTTTTTCCTGCTGTTCGGCTGACCTTTGAGAACCCGTCATCAAAGAGATGCATGGAGACTGGATAGCTGACGTCGGCAAACTTGGGGGTGATTGGATAGGAAGAATCGACGCAGAACTCGAAGTTGCAAGCAGCGGGGATAGGGGATGATGAGTTGCAGCATTCGGACGAGATCTTTGTGTAGACTCGGCTGACACTGACGTGGCTGAGAAAGATTCTCCGGTGTGAGATGAAGAGACGTTGCTCAATTGTATGTGGTCGCATCGGCCAGAAAATGTTGATTGAGCCGACAACGAAGGCGTATTGGGCAGGGTGACACCATGAGTTATTGGGGTTGGTAATTGAAATGTGTGGATACCCGCATCAGTATTGCGCATGAAGGAGCCGGATATGACGGAATAGTTATAACTTGTAAATCCAGTATCCGATCCTTCGTTGGCTTGGTCATTACAGTCATCTGTAAGCGAGTCGTAGTCATCGGCATTTTCTACTCCAACGCCGTCTTTCTGCTTAAATAACATCCCCGGTTGAACCGTCCCCTTTTTTTCTTGATCCTTCTGCCTCTGAAACTTTTTATTGTAACTTTCAACCTTTTTTAATTCTTCTTCTAAAATTTTTATTTGTCGGTCGCGTTCTTCCATAACAGCATCCTGTCTTCTTATCGTCTCAAGATTAGCACGGTACGTTTCCCAGTCGTGGAATTCAAATCGTCGATCAGCATGTTCATGAATAAATTGAATGAATTCATAAGCTTTTCGCAAAATGACGGCTTTATGAAGTTGTCCAGACGTTACAGAGCAAGAAGGAATAAGATCACGAATGATGAATATCCAACGGTTGATTTCATCACGATATTGCTTCTCCATCTGGGAGTGCTGAAGACGACGGCGTTGAGCGCGAGTGAGATTTGGGTTATCAATATCTGGCACGGCTGATCTAGGGTTCTCTAAATATAGGTGTAAATTCGAGGAATTGAACGTCGTAAATGTGGTTAGCTTTCAATAATTTGCAATTGAATTGCTCGCACTACACAGCTGTGGTGGCAGTAGATACTCTCAATTCAAAGTACTGCTATCCAGAGTACCCATCTCAAACTGTTTTATCGATCAAGAAAATTAGACAGAAGATGGAGAACGAACCTTTCACTAATCCATCGCACGCATTTCCTTCTTTCCACCAACCATCAGCGTTGATATCACCCTTAACGAAATGTGGACTCGCATTTATAACACCCTCATTCAAGATATTTCTACCATTGCTTGATACGTCATTGTTGTTGTCTTCCAGGCTCATGACTATTTCGTCTTCAACCGTGGGAGAGACAATATCAGGTTTTTTCTTGCCCCGTTTAGATTTCCCTTTACCTTTACTCTTGCTTTTGTTGTCACCGTTACCGTAGGTTGGAAGAATATTATTCAAATTAGTATTACTCAAGTCTACTTCCATGGTTAGCGTTGTTCACTCTTTTTCGCGATGAGGAGGATAGGATAAATGACAATAGAAATCGCGAATGTCTAATAACAATAGCGTTGTTACTCGCGGATAAATGGCAATTAAAAAGCAGTTGAATATCGTGGACTATTTATTGTTGAGATAATCTAAGATGGTGGTGCGAAGACAGAGCGGAGGAAGAACACAAAAATTTGTGAAGAAATCAAGAAAAGTCGGCTCCTCCGGGCCGGAACACGCAGATTGATTCTACTCTACAGTAGAACGACCAGAATCACCGCTTCATACAATCAGATATACTACTCTTGCATTTCCACCGATTTCACAATTGCGACCGCAGGAAGTAATTGTTTTATACATTTTGAGATTAATTGTCCGAATTATTAGCATTTTTAGGGTGGCCAACACATCGATGTCGATCCAGTAGTTTTTTTTAGTCCTCGCATGTCGGATTGCAGTGCTGACCTGCCCCATAATAGTTTTCATGATCTAAATCCAAATCACCGCAATATATAAATAAAGAAAATTTCACTTGAAAACTAGTATACATGTTCCTTGTATTATTACATATCTCGAGGGTACTTTTAGTGACACTAAGACGTGCTCATCCACGGACTGTCGCTAATCTCACTGACAACATCGATGTGGTCGCAGTCCAATGTACCTGTTCTCTATGACAACCCCGGTTGTCTTCGGCTGTTACTTGATAATCTTTCTTGGCTTGAATGCGGGATCAAGATTTATTCCCCTTGATTTTTCACTTTCCCCACCCAATCTCTTGAAGCCTTCCCAACAACAGCAGGATCCACCCCTGATATATCTTCCAACTTTGTCCCAATCTTGATGACATTGTACCGTATCACTCGGCTATCATGATACATCTCTTTCGACACTGTTTCGACAATAGCGGGTGATGCGTCGAATCGAACCGTGAAGTACCTTTAATAATATACGCATAACGCCCGAAATGTTAGTCAATATTATCCATCGCAGTCGAAAACTTCAATAACAAGATCTGACATGAACGGAGAGGCTCTAATCCGTAAGAGTTTGATTGAAAACTATTCGCAAGAAAAAATTAAAACCAATATTCGTAGAAAATAAAAGAACCGACCTCCCCTCGTTAAAGAACTCTTGATGTCGTTTCATTCTGTATGGCAAATTATTAACCCCTAAATTCTCCAAATTCCTGACCACACCCCCTCGATTCATAACCGCCAGCGCAGTTTTCTTTACCAGCTGCTTAAAAGGTTCCTGTCATTCCAAACCATTAAATGTGAATGGTTTAGGAGACGGCAGGGAATGGTGTTTCGTGCGAAAGAAAGACAGTAATGTAAGAACATGAAAGACATCTCAGAAGTGACCATGCAAAAATCAAATACCTTATCTAACTTTCGTGCTATACAGACCAATTCGTATAATGGCATTTCGAAGTATTAATGGTTATAATGTAATTAGAAGTTGATCTCTATTGTGATGTTGAGTAGTCAATCTCGACTTGTTGCTTGAAAACACGTGGTGGTAGTACGGTGGATACATGTTCATGGGGTAGGAAAATTAATTTTACATTTTCGAAATATGAATACAATGAAACATATAAAATACAGCTCTTCGCTTTAGATACCATATTCAAAAGTTTCCACAAATGCTTGTTATACATATATTGTTTTTCCTTCTACTTCCAAGAACGACTTATTCCTCATCAATGTTACAATACATGTTCTTTCGGGTAATCCAATATACATATGCCAATCTTCATCAAGTACTTCAGCTCCTCAACCCTTCTTCCATTCCAGTACTAACATAGAACCATTTTAAAAATTTAGCCCTGAAACTTTCATCGTTCAATATCTTCCTCGCGTACTCGAGGTAACCTTCAACGTTAAGAGCTGAAATTCCAATATCTCTAACAGTAGAATATTCAATTTCCCATTCTAAAGCTTCCGGATCAAGATTAGAATATAAATTCGGGGACGATGAGGGGGCAAAATTCGTCAGATTGAGGTAATATTGAGTATAGCTTAATAATGTTCCAAAATCGTCCAATGACGGGGTTGTCGGAGTTTTACGACGATATTGATGTTGTCGTTTACTTTCATCTTCTGCCGATTGGGATTGAGTAACATCTACGTCATACTCGAATAGGCGAACGGTGGGGTAGTAATTCGGTACAACACTGGGGTTGACTAATGCAATCGTTAAATCTTTCGGTCTGTATAATCCGTCTTCCAGATTACTGATAATATCCGCGAACGATTGAAATAATGATTGAAGATAGGCAGTTCGAAGACCCAGTGTTTTCAAACCTGTGGCAGTAAAGTTTGCGCTAAAAGGATGATCTGATATTGCCGACGCCTCCCTACTTGACTCGGAAGACTGTGTATCGGTGGACGAAGATACAAATTTATAGCTACTCGCCGCCGATTTAATTTGTTGATTGAAGTTTGAAGCGGAGCGAAGTGGAATTTCTTTAAGCGTTGAATCAAGCAACAAGAAATGATCTACGTTCATGTGTCCAAAGAATGACCCGACTACATTTCCGTACTTTGTTGCGAGTCGAACAAAT